CGGTCGTGGAACCCGTACATCTTGACGTTCGGGCAGTACTGATCATGGCCTAGGAATCTCGGGGTAAGTTGCCTTCTCGGACACACCACCGATAAAAAAAAAAAAAAAAAAAAAAAAAAAAAAAAAAAAAACACGTTGGAAAAGACCTACCGGTCGCGCATTCCTTGCAGGAGGCGCAGATACTGTGCGTATAGCCGAATCCCACACGATCCCCGACCTGAACGGACTTGACCCCGGCCCCCAGGGCGCGGATGATGCCCACCCCTTCGTGGCCCAGCACATTGCCCGCCTTGAGGTAGTGCTCGTCGGTGCCGCAGACCCCGGAGTGGGTGGTCTCGATGAACACCTCGTGCAGCTCGAGGGTGCGCGTCACCTTGTCCGCGACGATGCGCCCCTCGGACGACCCGCGGAATACATCGAATGTGATGCTCATGGTGCTGCGTGTGTCTTGTCTTAATTTTGTTTGCTGGTGTACTCGAAGAGGGTCCACCCCCCTTATTAAATAGTATCCATCTCCCGTTCTTGCTTTGTTTTCCTCCCGCACAAATATGATGGCTCCAGTGCTGCGGCTCCAGAACGGGGGTTCTGTGAACACCCCGGCGAATCGAGCGACAAGATCTCGGTTGCACGATGGGTACCTGTATAGGTTAGGTAGTTCCAACGCTTAGATGGAGTTGTGCAACGGAACAATGGCACTGATTGGCCCACCCGTCTGGATTTTTCTCCTGAGCTCCACTCATCGAAGCTCATGCCGAGGCTCGCGCTGCCGCTGCCCGGTCCGCGAGATCCGGGCTTGACCTCTGATAAGAAAATGAAAAAAGAAAAAAAAAAAGCAGAAGAAGGGGGTCTGCAGGATCGTACCCATGTGTCAGTCGAGAATCGAGATCTTGACACCTGAAACAGTTCCGATGCAACCGAGGCTTGGGCCAGACTACCTATGGCACGTCAAATCGTGATTGTGTTCCGTGCTTCTATCGAGAGTATTCATTCCAAAGTTGCGGGATAGTCAAAAGAAATTTCTCATCGGTTCCAATAAACGCTTTGGCGGGGCCAACGGCGACGCCAGTGGCTTCTATCATCCCCACAGGACTATGCCAGTTAGGACAGGGTGCCGTCATGCTGCTTGGTTCCCTGGTATTCTGATTGCTTGTTGCACTGGGGCTAGACTATCGATCCTTTTTTTTGCGATTGGAAGGTCATAAGTTATGCGGTGAAAGGGGCTTCCCTGCACTTGTTGGTAGTGGTGTTGGTCTTCTCGCGCTCTGTGAAGACTCCGGTGTGCCATTATGCCAGTGTGTTCATCACTCGCGACTATTCTCTATGGGCATTAGCCAGGGCCGTATACCGGTTATGCCAGTTACAGGACCCTTGTGCGGTGCGGCTTTGACTTGGTAGCAGGGCTTTCTTTGTTCTGTCTATGTGGTGGGAGCTCTGGGGCTTGCGGTTGGGCTTTTATTCAGGCTGCTTGTGCATTGAATGGTGTGTTGGAGCCGTACAACTTAGCTCCCAGGATGTTGAGATAGTTCGCCAGCCCTGGATGTGTCGTAGCGGTGAGCGTATCATTACAATCTATGGGATGTTTTCTAGTGCTTACTGCCTGTCGGCTTGTGTCACTGCGACAGCGAGTGGGAGAATATCGGGATTTAGTCTCGCTAAGAGGGTCTTTGGAGGGGACTGGTTCTCGATGTATTACACTCTGTGATTTGAAGGCCTCGATATCAAGGTTAGCTGGTTGGTGGCTGGGTTACAGTGTATTGGCTGTCAATCGGAGTCTCACCCGTGCGTATATATATCCGAGCGGAATTGTTTGGTGGAAAAGATGACAAGAGCCCGAAGGTGAATAATGGATATCTATACATAGCTAGACACACTACAGTCATCCACTTCATTGGTATATCATAATTGATCACCAAATGAATAGATTTTGAGTAGGCTACACACCATTGGACCTGAATAAGGTGCATTGTCTATTGATTTGATGACTCGAAACCATGGTACATATACCGAACTACAAACTCGATTAAACAACAAGGGCTTGTGGTTTAGGGGTATAACGCTCCATTCGCATTGGAGAGGTCCCGGGTTCGATTCCCGGCGAGTCCATATTTTTTGCCCCCGTTCATTCTTTCGGGGCCTTTGAGTATCAACCTCTGATAATCTTAATATTACACATTGTCAGTATCCCTTCCTCGATGGTCTAACGGTCATGATTTCCGCTTGTCAATCCCATCCGGGAACAAGCGCGGGAGACCTGGGTTCGACTCCCAGTCGGGGAGATTTCCTTTTGCCTTTTGCGTCTTCATCTATAACACCATGGCTTCCCCTTGTGCACTCTCATTTTGCTCTACACTACCCTAATCCCCACGAATAACCTCATACCCCACCAAGGACCTCAATGAATCCAGGACCTAAATTCTCAAGTCTACAACACCGGATGAGCACCATCACCCATAATCGTGTTAGTAACATGTTCCTGGCCATGCATCCCAACACCCCAACACCACACATAGAACCAAGGCTGACGGCTCACCTTCCAGGGATAATTGTACCGGCCCAAGGACCAAGTCACTCGATTGTCACGCACCCCTCGCATATTCCTAACCCCAGCCTTCAGGTCACACCCGCTTGAACTCAAGGATTTACACCTGGTTCCAACAAGACGAGGCAGTGCATATTGTTCTTCGGGTATACCATGCGGTCAATCCACTCGACGCGCCGGCCGATGCTGCAAGCAAGGCGAATTGTTGACGGCAAAAAGCGACGAGACCCACACAAGCCCGTTCGTGCACAGGAGCTACCTCCTCCAGAATGGCTGCTCAGCAAAAAGCAAAAAGATGGAGCTGCGGGGAATCGAACCCCGGACCTCTCCCATGCTAAGGGAATATTATACCACTAAACCACAGCCCCAGTTGTTGGAAAGATCCTAGAAATGTAGTTATATGTTACTACGTTGAAGAGCTGGTCACTGTGAGAAGGATTTCCAAACCACGGGCCTGGGTAGTTTCCACTCTCCGACCTTGCATCATCATCTTGATTCCTGGGACTACCTACTGGTTGGCGTTCGGGTCATGAGATATAGATAGAGCACAACTACGACAAGGGCAGTATCCTCGGACGCGATTCGAAGAGTAGCATGGCAGTCTCATTCGCTACATACGGAAGACGCACCAAACAAGCACATCGAAATGAATCCCGAGAAGACTGCAAGACCAGTCCCATTCTCCCGAGCCTATCCCCAAGCCTAGTTGTTCGGCTCCACATCCACGATCTTGAGCATCCGCCCGGACCGGGGCGCCCGACTCCGCGCCTCCCCCCACCCGAGCTGCGTGCCAGGGAACCGGTAGAAGGCGCGCGCGCTGTCCTCGTCGGAGGTCTGCAGCTGCGGCGGGAACTCGTAGGCCATGACGGAGAGCGGGTTGCGGGGCCCCAGCTGCACGGTGTAGTCATCCCGGGTATCCTCGAGCTCCGGGGCGAACTCGTGCCGGAAGCCGAGGACGTGGCCGAGCTCGTGCAGGAAGATGTTCTTCAGGTAGGCGACGGTGCCCGGGGCGAAGGCCGACTCGTACACGTTCAGATAGTTCAGGTCGATCGGGCTCGGGAAGAAGGCCTCGGCCAGCACCCCGCCCTGGCTGCCGCCGTAGGAGAGCACGAACGCCGCATCCTCCAGCCGGGCCACCCACTCGAGCCTCACCCCGAGCTCGAGCCGGTTCCACTCGTCCGCGGCCGCCTTCAGCGCGTTGGCCGCCAGCGTCGCCCACTCGGCCTTCGGGTACCCGTTGGCGAACGCGGCGAAGTTGACGCGCTGGTTCGGGCCGGGCTTCCATCGCGGGATCACTTTGCCGAAGCCGACTTGGAGGGCGGCGGTCCTGGCCGCCGGGTCGCTGGTGCTGGTGCTGGTGGCATCGGTGAAGGTCACCGGGGCGGGCTTCTGGGTCGAGCAGGTGTACTTTGCTGGGCCTCCGGAGGTGGAGGACAGCTCGTCGGGCTGTTCGTCGGAGAGGTCGGTTGCGGGGTCGAGGGTCTTTAGGGCTTCTTGCCCCACCGCGCCCTTCAGGTCGTCGAAGAAGCTGGCGCGGCCCGGGTCGAGGGTCGCCTGTTGGTCGGACATGATGATGGGCTTGGGTCGGTTGCGGATCGAGGTTCCACACCAGTCTTTGGCGACGGAGTCCAGCTTGGTTGGATATGGTGGTTGAGTGAGATTGTGATGGGGTTGAGGTTGTTGAGAGGGAAAAGCGAACCCTGGACCGGGACGATTAGGCCGTATTTATGTCGTTCAGGGTGCACCCCGTCATGAGTGACCAGTTGGAAGAAAGAATCCCACGACAGAGGGTGTTACCATTTTGGAGGTCGCTCAATGGTCTGGACTCGACTGCCGATGTCTATCTCTTCAGCAGTAATTGCGCAACACCTGTCAAATGACTCGGAGCTTTTCAGCTTGGCTGTGGCGCTGGAGAGCTGAAGACAAAGGACTCGCGCGATGTAGGCGTCTGGAACAAGTTCGTGTCGTAGGTCAAGCTGCAATTGGGAGGATGTTGCAAGGATTGCCCGGTTTCAACACGAGCAGCCGCAAACGTTTAAGAGAAGCTGAAACTGAATCCTTATAATTGGGATATTCATAGTATTCTGAGCTGGCCATGTCTGTTTTATCCAACCGTAGTGCTGGGTCTGGAGCACCGGTCCACAGTTTTACAATATTCGGGACCGAAGGAGCGACCGGATTACGATCTCAAGTATCAACTCACATGCCAGAGACCCTGGCTGTGTAACTGGTCTCTAGGAGCGCAGCCATCGACTGGTGATTGCATGACGAGGAGGACTTTGAATATTGCAGTGAACCTGCCGTGCGCAATACGTGGATGGAATTGCGCCGGCCGCCCCCGTCGTATGAAAGTGGCCTGTGGCCCAGATTCCGATTCCTCATTGCAGCAGAAGCCAAGATCAAACGAGTGATCGCTGTGGCTGTAAGCTCAAGCTCGGACCAAGAGCCTAGTCGGTCAGCTGTGGGGGCTGTGCACTGAAGCTCACGACGGCCGCATGCAGCCTTGTGATGATGAATGGTTCGTGGTTCGTATTAGGGTCACCAACCCAAACCTTAATGGTGCTTTCAAATGCTCCTGGCATCTCGAGCTCCTCACGGCTTCCGCCCGGACCTCCCTTCGTCAGGGTTGAGTTATACCATATCAGTGTAGCTCCAGGAGCTCGTGTGGGTTCGGGAGATACTTGCCTGCTCCTCTGCACGTACCACAAAGTACAGTACTGTAGTAAAAGCCACTTAAGACGTTCCGAACTATGACCACTAGTCTGTACCTGAGCTTGATCCTACTAAGCTGTGATGCGCACCTACAGTGACAGCTCCGGCCTAGTTCCGTGCTTGTTGCGAGGTTGAAATCCTCGTTGAACCACCTGAACTGCCTGAAGAGAGGATCT